GCAGCAGTGGGAAAGAGGGCCTGGGCTAGCACCATGGCTTTTAAAATTTTTCTTATAATTTATGAAAATGTCAAACACAAAGAAAATAATAATGTAAGATTCAGGGGGAGCTCACAATTATCCGCCTTGTGAGATTCTTTTCTTCCATAACACGTAAATAAAAGGCATTTTAAAAGAATGAGTAATAATTGTAAGATCTCTCATCCTGCAAACTGAAGAAGGATCCCTTCTCTTCCCTGGGTTTCTCCAACATTTATCCCTCATCCTAACCTTGTTCTTCTGCTCCCCACCAGACTTGGGGAATCCCCCTCCCCAGGGTAGCTCCAGAGCCTGGGCCAGCACTGGGGCAGGTGAAACTGATGAATGAAGTCAGTGAATGACCCCATCCTGGTATGCCCCTCCCACAGCTCCTCTGGTCTCACAGCCTGATTCTCTCCCGGCCCTCCCTCTTCTCAGTGGCCTCCTTCCCCAGGTTGGTCGGCCCATTCTGCCCTGCTCTCCTTATGACCTCTCTTCCATCACCATCCCTTTATCCTGCAACAGCAGCAGCAGGTACTTTGTTTTCTGAGACGAAGTCTCACTCTGTCATCCAGGCTGGAGTGCAGTGGTGCAATTTCGGCTCACTGCAACCTCCGCCAGATGGGTTCAAGCAATTTTCCTGCCTCAGCCTCCTGAGTAGCTGGGATTACAGGCGCTCGCCACCATACCTGGCTAATTTTTGTATTTTTAGTAGAGATGAGGTTTCACCGTGTGGCCAACAGGCTGGTCTCGAACTCCTGACCTCAGGTGATCCTCCCGCCTCGGCCTCCCAAAGTGCAGGGATTACAGATGTGAGCCATCCCGCCAGGCCAGCAGCAGTCGGTTCCAACTGTTAGATGTGCTGGGATTCAAACTCTGACTCCACCTCTTACTAATGACTTGGCCTTGGGCAAGCCTCAGTCTCCACATCAGTCAAACAGGAACCATATCAGCATCTCCCTCAGAAGCCCGTGGTGAAGTTTCAATCCAGTGGCGCACAGCGCACACTGTGCTGGGCATGGCAGGGCTGAGTGTTCAATGTGGCATCCCCATTACCCCTCCCAGAGCAGCCGTTCCTTCTCTGCAGCTCACCTTGGCAGCTGTGGCGGTCAGCAGACAGCTGCATGCCCAGCCCACACTCACACACAAACCCGCCTTCCGTGTTCACACAGTGGCCCTCGCAAGAGGAGCTTACACATTCGTCAATGTCTGGAAAGAGAGAAAGCACGTGTTTACACAGTGGTCCTCGCAAGGGAACTTACACATTCGTCAGTGTCTGGGAAGAAGGCACCCTTGCAGGCCGGGCACTGTGGTTCATGCCTGTAATCCCAGCACTTTGGGAGGCTAAGGCAGGCGGATCACCAGAGGTCAGGAGTTCAAGACCAGCCTGACCAACATGGAGAAACCCGGTCTCTACTAAAAATACAAAATTAGCCAAGCATGGTGGTGCATGCCTGTAATCCCAGCTACTTGGGAGGCTGAGGCAGGAGAATCGCTTGAACCCAGGAGGTGGAGATTGCGGTGAGCCAAGATTGCACCATTGCACTCCAGCCTGGGCGACAAGAGCGCAGCACTGGGGCAGGTGAAACTGATGAATGAAGTCAGTGAATGACCCCATCCTGGTATGCCCCTCCCACGGCTCCTCTGGTCTCACAGCCTGATTCTCTCCCGGCCCTCCCTCTTCTCAGTGGCCTCCTTCCCCAGGTTGGTCGGCCCATTCTGCCCTGCTCTCCTTATGACCTCTCTTCCATCACCATCCCTTTATCCTGCAACAGCAGCAGCAGGTACTTTGTTTTCTGAGACGAAGTCTCACTCTGTCATCCAGGCTGGAGTGCAGTGGTGCAATTTCGGCTCACTGCAACCTCCGCCAGATGGGTTCAAGCAATTTTCCTGCCTCAGCCTCCTGAGTAGCTGGGATTACAGGCGCTCGCCACCATACCTGGCTAATTTTTGTATTTTTAGTAGAGATGAGGTTTCACCGTGTGGCCAACAGGCTGGTCTCGAACTCCTGACCTCAGGTGATCCTCCCGCCTCGGCCTCCCAAAGTGCA